TAAAGTACGCCGGAAATGCAGGTTTTGCCTTTCCTAATTTGGGAGCATTACTACGTCAGCTATCAAATGTATGAAGACAGTGCGCCTTAAATGTGAAACGCACTGTGAAAAAACGCCATCGAATAGTTTAATATCAGGTTGCGTTTGCAACGGCCTAAGGGTTCACTCCCAACTTGGACATATATCAGCTGCGGGCGTGCTTCTCCGAGAGAAGTGTATACGCCTTTTTCTTTTTTATCCCTTTTTTGTTTATGCATGAATTTTATTCATTTTATACTTTTTTCATTTTTTTTTTACACTTTTCTTTATATCCACACCTTGTAATAGTTGCTAATGAAGCTTAGCCTAAGTTTTATTTCCAAACGTAATTTGAATTCGACTCTTAATTTATTTTAGCTGAATCTATTGTGTAAATGAATAGATAAATAAAAATCACATCGGGTATGTAAAGGCTCGTGATCAACCCTCCCTTTATTATTTGAATTGATACACAATCAGTTTCTAAGCCGATTCGAGTAAAATATGCATTAAGTATATATTGTAGATTATTGTATGTATCGTATTATGACATATTATATTATATATATTATATATATAATATCTTATTCTATATTATTATTATATATATATTTATATATACACACATTAATACATTTTGTTATATCTGTCTATCCACATAGTCTACACGTTGCAATTTTTTAGATATTTTGATGACTCCACTGATTGGATCAAACCATTTTTACAATCCCTTCCCACATAAAGCCCGGTATTGAAGCAACCTTTACTTAAAAAAACAATAAAGAAAATTTATCCTAAAAAAACTAAAAAAAAAGAATGACCTAAATTTTCATTCTCTATAACATGGAGTGGACACAGCTGATGTTTTCTATTTTCAAAATAAAATTTTTTGGCGCAAAGGCGTGCGGGCATGGTGGGCGTGTTGTTGCAAAAGTTTAATTCCAAATTCTTTTGCAAATTTGTAGGCTATACCTTCGTTTTCGTTAAAGACAGAATGTTTACAACAAATACTGCACAGTTACGCAGATAGGCAGATGACCATACAAGCACAGGTGGACATGTTTACGTGCATTCAAGGGTTGTAAATGGCTCAGAATTTGTATATTTTATGGAGCCTGCTTCTGCTTGTTATAAAGGTATTGAGAAAGTAATTAAATCTTGATACACTATAATATTGGGTAGAATCGGTCTTTTTTTTTTAATTTTTGTACAGGCATTCACATTTTTGTACATTTATTTGTTACCGATGGGGTCCATGATGCTTCCTTTTGAGCGTTGCAAACATTTCGACAAAATTTAAATACCCTTCACCCTTCGGTGATGAGTATAAAAAACAAATTTGCTTGTTTCATTACTCCTCGTCGAAAATAACATTTCGGGATACTCAGTGATTGTGCACGGTTTGGATTGGATACGACTGCACCCCCAAACCTATATATCCTGCAAAAAATAGGGTTTTATGTGGCAATAAGACGTAAGTTTTAGTATCTTGTGATGAGAAAAATGGTATTATCTTACACCATTTGTACACCAATTATACTGTATTAAGATTGGATCACGTTGGTCTATTTTGTTGTGTTGTTCTGATTGATTACGTAAAATCAAAAATTTTTCCGCCTTTCACTAGTGAAAGTAAAGATTTGTCCTTGGTTATATTTTCCCCCGGTTTGCGGCCTTTTAAGCCACCAAACGTGAATTGTAAAACTGAATGTGAACACATTCAGGCTTCTTAGTTAATTTCTTAAAGCCAAACAAGCGATTTATTCGAAGAAAATTACAAGTCTTTTATTATTATTATTATTATTATTCATTTAGCCAGAGAATAAATTCTAAGACTAACGTCTTAAAGCACTAGCGTCTGAGGCCATCGGCTTTAAAAGAATTTTAACTCGTTTTCATCTTGAAAATTCATTATTAAATGTTAATATTAACTAACCTTATAACTATAATCGAGCAAATACCTTATGTTCATCTATTAACCTTAAGTAAATTTTATTCTTATTCTTGGCATTCATTTGAAGACCTAAATGGGTTTAATTTACGTCTGCTCCAACAATACAATTTGTACGATTTGTAAAATTCACTTCCCAACAAAATGAACCAATTCTCTTATGCTTGCTTCTTCGTTCTACTTAACGTATAATTTTCGTAATAAAATGTTTCGATACTTTTTAAATCTCAAGAAACTTTTATCTTTCCACGCATAAATTATTTGCGATTTACTGAATTTCAACTAAGTCGACTTAAGTGAACTTCCAATAGGTTAAACGGTATTCAATATTATGAAAATGAAAATTCATTCAAGCGTACGATAAAAGCTTTTAGATTAAATCATTTAATACCCATTAAGCCACTTTTGGTTGAAATAATTATTAAAAGAATTTCTTGCATTTCTTTCGTTTTACAAAACATACCAAATAATATTAATACATACATCATTAAACGAATTTCAATTAAGTATTTAAACATCAATAAGCTCAACAGACTTTCAAAATGATTTTAAATGTAGACAATAAACAATTAACAGAAATACTTAGCAGTTATTAAAATGTTGTACTAACAACCAGTGCAAGTGAATAAGCGCTTGTTTTAAACAAAAAACAAGAAACTAGGAATATGTCTCGTATAAAGCCAACTTCATAGCACTCACCGCTTCATTTACCACCATCAACGCAACTGCGTGATTCATACTCTCTTAGGCGACTACAATTTAATTTATGCGAAACCTATCTTCAACAAGTTTAAGTGGTATCGATAAGCCTTATTATGAGATAATCAAAACATTGATGCTAGAAAAATGTGTTATTGATCGCGTGGCATAATAGATCAAGAAAAAATTTCATGGCGGCATTCATAATAACTCGTTTTAGAATCGCGCAGTTTTGGCGATCTTGACTTTTGTTAATTCAAATTTCCGAAAAAAATTCGCAATCCCAATGTTCCCAAACATTGAGCTCTAATTCCTGCTATTATCAATTAAGGTAGTTAAGGCGCTATAGTAGCGGCATAATGTTTTTTACATAAAATTGGCAAAAGGCTATCGGTTGTATCTATAGGAGAGTTTTCTTAGAATTTTAATGAAAAAACGCAAAAAAATGTTGTGCAGAATCCAATATATTAGATTCTTGCATGTATTTTGATCAGAAACTTCTATTGATGATACTGCAATAAATTTTGTTGGTTGTGTGGAGAACGTGATGAATGTTTGTGTACAGTGGAATACTTTCCTATACTCCTCGGCTTCAGTCCGCCAAGTCAATCTACTTCTTTTGGTGCCAATACAAAAATCGGTTAAAAGCAGTTCCTAGCTAATATGTCAGGCGGACGGAACGCCTTTTTATGTTTTAGCGTATACAACGCTTTTTGTATTGCTTTACGACAATATTATTTATTAAGTTTTGCTAGAGCTATTTATACTAAATTTTATATAATTATCGTTTTTCCTTTTTGCAAAAGAATTATACTGATTTTGCATAATTCTGTCACACTTCAAAGTGAGTTTTTCCATTTAGTATTACTGAGTTATTCAGTGTGCGACGACTCTAATCAGTGCGCGACGATAAAAATTGCATTTTCACATTCATTAATTTTGTTGTTTGATTTGACGAAATCTAGGGCCGAAGCTCATCAAACACTGTTAGAAGTAACGATGGTGTCAAAGACAAAGAACAGCCTGCGCGTCTAAAACAGTTCGAAGACAATGAATTCCAAGACTTCCTGCCTGAAAACTCAACAGTCAAAGAACTTTCGAGCAGCTTAGCAGTTGATGATCAACTTTTTCTAGACGTTTACACGAGGGAGAAGAAGGGATAATGGAATCTAATACAACGATCTCAAGCATAGGTTAGTCCAGGCGAGCCATACACATCGATACCGAATGTTGACTGTCATAAAGTTTTGCCGCTGCTAAAATCGACTGTTACTGTAGACATTTGCCGACGTCAAGTGAAGGATGTATTGTTGCAAAAAAGATGAGCAAGAGTAATTAATAGACGTAAAGTGATCCGTTCGGCCACACGTTGCAAGAGCTTTCAAGAATTCTCTGTTGCAACTCGAAAGGGTAGTTCTACCGCATTCTGCGTACTCACCAGACATAGCAGCTTCTCATTACCAATTGTTCGGATCGATACAGGGTGGCTTGGTTGGTACGCGGTTTCGAAATGCTGAAGAAGTGCGAAAATGGTTCGAAGATTGGATCGCTGCCAAACCAATATCGTTTTATCGACCCGCTATCGCCATGTTACCAATAAGATGGGAAAAAGTTGCAGAAAATTATGCAAAATATCTTGATCAATATGTATTGCAACAATTTCTCTCGCTAACTGATTTTGTCAAGTTAACAAATGTTCAAACAATGTCCAATTAAAGCACCTAAGAGAACATCTTCATATAAAAACATTTCATATTTATAGATTGAAATTAATCGCTTGACGACTTGAAAGCAAAGCAAACGTTAGGAATTTCAAATGAAATGATCTGATCAAGTCAGTGAAACAACTCCTACTGTAAACGCAATATTAAACTGAACTTTAAATTCTAAATCATTAAACTCCATAAATAAAACTCTATACTATCTATGACAAGAGCAAGAAGTAAATATTAAAGATCAAGACAAATTATTAATGTTAAAGGATTTTTGACTCCAAGATGCAGACCATCAGACGGACATACCATTATTTACTCTAATCGTAACTTAAAACGCCTCTAATGGGCTTTTATGCGTAGCCAACATTTATTAAATTTAATATACCGCCTGCATTGAGCACAATAACAATTTTTCATTTATTGATAAAAGGCGATTGTATTTAAAAAGACATCGACTAAATCAGAAGGCTTGCAACCGCTAACGGCAGAAAACAGGTTTACAATAATTGACTATGAATAGAAAACCTAAACGGATGTTGAAGTAAAAAAAAAATTGCTTCACATATCAATTAAATTTCGATTTTTTAAGCATAATTATAAATAAATTTGTTTCTTAATCTTAATCTTACAGAATATGCTGCAAATAATGCCAAGGAATTAATCCAACTCTGCCAGCCAGCTTATCTTAAGATCAAAAGTAATAACAATTGAAAATTGGAAAAGTCATCCGTCAATGATTAAGTTTTTAACACTACACCATACAACAAAAGTTTAACGAAAAATGCCCATTCATAATAAATCATCGCCTTCATCGATAGCAAATCATACAACTGCTGAAATTGATTATCACACGTCCGAGGCAGCTAAAGTTAAACGAAATCGCGAGCAAGCATATTTCAATTCATATAATTTCGACGCAATTGAAGCTCTACCCTACGATGGTGATGATGATGAAGATGATGACGGGGGAGATTCTAAGGTCGCAAATGAAAAACTATGCAATAGTCATAAACGAAATAATGTAGCAACTACGACAGAAACAACGGGTGGATCATCAACAATAGAAACCGCTAAGAATTATCTAAACCTGATAACTGAACCAAGTTCAGATCGTTACTTGGAGCAACTTGCACACGGCGTCATTCGAGTTGACGATAATGGTGGTATTTGTGGTCCAAATGTTAATCTGAAAACAACCAACCATCATAACACACATGGAAAATACTCATATCTACAACGGTTCGCTGTCATTTTTGGCAACAACAATAACGTCGGTACGAGCAATAACAACAACAAGAAAACCAATACAATCAATAGCGATAAAAGTAATAAACAGCGATGTGGTCAACATTTGAACTCACAAACTCCCGCCCTATGTTCAACGCCAGCGAACAATAGCAATAGAGAACTTTGTACTATAACGACATACAACACGTCCGATGTAGTAGCAGAGAACAATAACAACAGCAATGGATTTCTATTACCAAGAGCTATGCTTAAATACCACAGGTAAATAAAGAAAAAGATTTTTCTAATAATAAATGCTCCGTGATTTATGTAGAAAATCTATTTAAACGACTCTGCAAAGAAAATTTAGAAACATGCGTGCATGAAACAATTAGCAAACAAGTAGGTAGGGGAAGTCCAAAACGCTTCGATAGTGCTTACTATAGGAATCTGCGCATATGTACGCATGTAAGCAAATCTATAGTGGCAGGCAATTCAGACGCAAACTCCTAATGGGTCCGTAGCGTACATACAACAAGAAGTGCAAGCAAAGGCTTTTTCAAAAATTTCATTTAAAAAAAAAATATAACAAGAAAATGTAAAAAATAATTTTAAAAAGTCTGTGAAATGTTTGCTGTAAGTATTCTCCTGCCTGCAAAAATAAAGCTGACGGCTTTCGTTTTTCAAAAACATCGGAAATTCGTACACGCTGGCTGGTATTGAAAATGGGTCAGATCGGTCGGAGGTATCGCAATGAATTGAACTGAGACAGTTAGTTAGTTAGTTAGTCTGTTGGTGGTGCCTTAATATCTGTACAAAAATAGAAAAAATTGACCACTCCTGTACAATATATATATAGTGTAACAAAATTTCACTCTAAGAGGCCCAAAGCAAACATTCAAAAACCCAATCAAGTGGACTGATCACTGTCGAATTCGGAATGCAAGTCCCTCTGTTTGTCCGTCGGCTCAATAGTGTAGTATCTATGAGAAATACTCTGCCAGACATTGTCTACAAATTGGCAAAAGAGCTTTAAAATGGCCCAACCGATCACAGGAGACGTCTACAACACAAAAAACTGACAACAACTTTACTTTTCGTAGTTTTTGCTAATTTTTTCTTATAAACTACATTAAACGCACTGTGAACCTTCCACTTTTAATCTGCAAAAATAAGAAGTTAGCCACGCCCATCCAATATTACGAACTATGAAACTTTAGTTTGTTCCTTTTTCTTGATTTTCTTAAGTATAAGAATGATGAACATCACAGTCGAACTTAGTGCTCGTACTTGTTTAAACTCGTTAAAACTCGTGCCACACCTTACGATCGTAGGCCTTGGCAAACTATGTTTACGGAGGGATAGACAGACTTCGCTAAAATGGCCGCATACGTACCCGGCAGCCGATACCTCTACGTATTACAAACGCAAGAACAAATCTATGTAATGCATTCCTTTCATGCAAGTGTGGGTATAAAGATTCTAAAAAAGAAGAAATTGTATTAATTGATTGAAATGATTGCCTCTTACTTATCTTATTACACTTTAAATTTGCAAACTGTATCCCAAAAGGATAGAAAGTAAATGCTACGGTAAGGTTTGGAAAATAACAGAGATATAAGATAGCAATGCAGATATGATGTGTAAATAAACACGTGCCTTTTTGACCGAATCTTTTATAGCCACCCCGTTCCTGTAAAGAGTACCAAAAGAGCAAAGGAAAAAACTAAATTTCCATACATTGGACGTGGCTGATACTTTCTGCTTTTTAAAATAAAAGTGAAAATTTACATCCTGTAGCAAAAAACATAGAAATCAAAGGCATGGACGCGTTGTAGGCGTGCCCTTTAACCGGTTTCACAAATTCCTTTGCAAATTTGTGGCGATCTCTTCAGATTTGCGAACGGAAGAATATTTGCCACAGTTCGAACACAGTTAGGCAGACGTATAGACGGACAGTCGAGCAGACGAACACGCTCAAGTGCGTTCCAAATTTAACACTTGTAAACAACGTAATTACTTTATGTGGCGTTTAAGCTTGCATTTGATACACTATAATATTGGCTAGGCGTGGCTAATTTTTTCCATTTTTGTACCCCTACTAAACATCGCCCATAGAGAATACATTCAAATTACCATAGACTTAACTCTTGTAGTTTAAGCTAAAATTACCAAAAAATTAGTTTGCTTCCTTTCAGAAAACAGCGGCGTTCTCAGTTTACGTGGTAGTATAGGCGTGTCCTTTGACCCAGCTAGCACATTTTCAGTATCAACCTGCTTGTAATTAGTTCCTATAGTTTGATAGCTTCGTTTTGGTAGCCAGAAAAAAGCCATTACACAGACGAACATACTTAAATCAAACCAGACTTTGATGTTACTAAAAGTTATATATAAAATCTCGAAAGCTTCCTTCTGGGTGTTGTACACAAATGAATATGTCTTTTATGGGTGTAATAAAGAGAAACTATATAAACTTTGAAAATTTGCAATAAAAATCGAAAAGATGAAAATAAATGAATTTCCATATGGAAGATCCAGATATCTTCTCGATATTCTTATCCAATTTGTGGCATATTGATAAACTGTCGGGGGAATTCACCTAATGCACCAATCTGGCAATTTATTTTGAAGTAAGATACATGAATTCGATTTTTACCATATAGGATATCCAGGATTGATATTGCTGAAGTATTTCAATATCGGATTTGCTAAATAGTGCATAAAAATATAATTAAATTAATTAAGAACATTAATTTTGTTATGTTTACTTGAAGCGAATGTATGATGATTATGTAATGCCGTTGAATTCTACGAAAGACAACTACAGCCTTCGCACACAGAAATTATTTTTCATTTTTACTTGAACAATTGAGGATATGTTCATTCATCATTTATATGAAAAGCTATTAGCATATCTGAAAACAACCAACGTTTGTTTGTTTGGCATCGCATAAAATCTGTTGTAACAATATATTAAATAATCTCATCTAGTAGTAATTACTTATACGAATGTATGAGTTGAAGTTTTGACGTAAAGGTCTTTGTCATCGTATATATGTTAACATACTTAATAATATAACTTAATAAACATGTTTGAATATAAACACATGTGAGAGACATGCATTTAGATTTAGAAAAAGAGAAATACGATATATGTCAATAACAGAAATATTTTACATCGAATGACATTTGAAATGCGTTATAGACGGGGGTGACAGGATCCCTCTATGAGAGATGTATTTATTATACATCCGTAGAATATCTTTCCAAGTGATTGCAACCTCAGCACAAAATAAATGATTTGAGTGCAGTATGAATATATGCATGCATACGCAAATGGAACATGTATGTGCATCGTATGCATATCCTGATAACATTTCTTTTTTTTTTATCTCTCTCTCTCTCTTTCGTTTTGTTCATGTGGATAAGAGTGCGTGCTTTGGTTACATGAAATTTTTGTACTTAAAGTTGAAACTAGAATTGTATATTTACGAGTAATTTTGGCAGAGTTCAAGTTTTAGTTGTGGAAAATTCAGCATGAACATGAGATGTATGTATATTTTGCATGAATGTCTGAGAGTTAGGCGCCTGTCGTCAACCTTCACCTCTTTATGATTCTATAGATGTGTTCCATTCATACGCAGCATGTTGCCGTTACTGAAGTGTGGAATTTTTTTTTTTTTTTCATTTTTTTTTTTTGTTTTTAATCGTGTTATTGTTGGTTTCTCATTATTTATTTTTGGTAATATATTGACGATAGTCATACATATATACAAATACGTGTTGCTCCACAGCTGCAGCACTCAGTTATTAATAAATGGCAATATCTATAATAAATCTAAAGGCATATCATGCATGACTACTTAAAATGATTTTTTTCAGATTAACCGTTAGAGCATGAAAATTTTTTTCATTATTCGTTCGAAGAAATACTGAGACAAAAACATTAATTAAGTCGCTATATAGAAGGTGTCACTTCAATTAATTCTTTTTTAAAGAATGATACGATTTTCTAATGCCATCCTTTTGCTCCTGGGACTCTCGTTCACCTCATGATCATTATAAGCTAATAGTTTCCCTTTTGTATCTTTATTACATTTGCGTTGGTCTTTTTACATTGTTGATGTCTTCCTTTCCAATAACCATCGAGACGTTGACACATGTGTATTTCAGAGTAGTCGCTCGTATTGTGTATGACATTCAGAAAATACGAAAAAAATAAAATATAAAATCTTCACTTTGGCATGCAAGGTCATCGATGAGGTCTTGTACCCTTGTGCAGCTCATAAACACGTATTCGTGCATGACTTCTTCATTCACTGTTTTGGTTTTAGCTTTGGTTTTGGTTTACGCTTTGTGTTTTTTTTTTTTTCTACATTTTGAAGTTTAATGGTTTACTTAGCATTCTTTTAACGTAAACCGCATAAAATACCCAAAACACGGTTATTTTTCACTTTAATTTTTTATTTGTTTATTTACTTCTTTTTTTTTTTTTGGCAAGTAATTCATTGACTCTTCGCTGATATGCTATTCTATGGTATAAATGATTATTAAAACTTGATGATAAATTAAATGAATTCTATCTATACGTTTGTAAAAGGTCTTGTCTTTAAAAAGTCTGATCTAATGTTTAACGTTTAATGTTTAAAAGTTAGATCTAATGTTTAATTTGAAAACGTACGAAGATTATAAAAACATATTTTGCTTAGAGACATGAGAAAAAAGCCACGTTAAAAAAAACGCGGCATCGAGTTTCAAGCATAAATTTTCAATAATAGGTAATTCTAGGCCTATCCCCGTATATATTTCACATGCTGGCGACGAAAAGAAAAATATTTTATAACAATTTTCAAGACTTGAAGAAGCTCTAAATTAGAAACTAATTTATAAATCAACGGAATGATATGCAATTTCAGTTAGATATACTTACCAAAGAGCGTATTTATAACCTAGTCCACTTATGCAGGGTACAGGATATATTAAGTTTGTTCAAACATAAGTAACACCCAGAAGGTCTTAAGATAGATACACCTTTTATTACACTAAATCTGAGGCCTCTCTTATCCTATTTCCACGCAAATTTGTGTTCAAGCTACAGATCGCAATTTTTGAGATATTTCGACGAAATTTAGCATAGCGATGTGCTTGGACCCAAAGACGAGCGCTATTGAAAAGCCTTTGGATTGATCCACTTTTACGACCATATAAAGCCCTATTTTGAAAATGTGCTAAAAATTCTGCGACAAAAGTTGCTGTATATAGACATTCTAAATTGGTATAGA